AAACCAGGACAATATATAAAATGAGTTTTGGCTGTTTGTTTGAGTACTGTACATGTAGTTTACAAATTCTTTTTATTTTTATTCAACATTAAAAGTATTTCAAGCCTTGATGCTGTTACACTCTTGTTGCTCTTTATTCACTTACTTTTTATGTTGGTTGTGTTTGTCATTGAGCCACAAGGTTTGTTAGCATGTTGTAATACACTCGTGTTGCTCTTTATTCACTTACTTTTTTATTGGTTTTGTTTGTCAGAGAGCCACAAGGTTTGTTAGCATGTTGTAATACACTTGTGTTGCTCTTTATTGACTTACCTTTTTATTGGTTTTGTTGGTCAGAGAGCCACAAGGTGTGTTAGCATGTTGTAATACACTCGTGTTGCTCTTTATTGACTTACTTTTTTATTGGTTTTGTTGGTCAGAGAGCCACAAGGTGTGTTGGCATGTTGTAATCCAGTCCCTACTCTGGTGAAACAGTATGTCAGCGAGGTCCATATGATTATCCAGAATGCTAAGGACAGTTTGCCAAGTACAAATTATGATGTAAGTAATGTTTTGACTTTGATTTCTTCTCAGGAAATTTATTGAATTAATATTTTGATTGATGTTTTTTTTTATTTTAAACATAGAAAGGAGAGTTGACAGCTGCAATAACTGAACAACTACAACCAACACCATCTATGGTAAGACAAAAATTGCATTGTTTCATCATTACACGTGTAAATTATGRCATCCTCTTGGTCTCCTTTGCATCTGATTTTTTGGAATCCTTTTCCATCCTCAACAACCTCAAACAAAAACCAATATGAATAGTCTTTCATCCTCTGACTTTTGCTTGTTTACATCAAATAATGAAAACATTGTTTTTAAACTCCCAATGTTGTAAGATCGTAGGCTTCAAAATATTTTTTTCTATTGACTTCTTTTTTCCCTCAAGCCTCTTGCTGCATCAAGGCAGATAAATGAAGTGTCAATGGATCCAAGCAGTAGACATCACATTGCTGGTAGAGTAGCATTTATTGTTATTTTTTCTAGATCTGTATGACTGAAATGATCAATATCTCCTGTAGTCTTACTACAGCTATTATCATTGTCTTGCTCTGCTGAAAACAGCTACTTCTACATTGCTGGTAGAGCAGCATTAATTGTTATTTTTTCTAGATCTGTATGACTATGAAATGATCAATATCTCCTGTAGTCTCACTACTGACAGCTATTATCATTGTCTTGCTCTGCTGAAAAAAGCTGCAGTGAGGCTATATCTCTTCTGAGCATCTAACTTTTTAATGTAGGTCAAGAAAAGTGTACAGCATCAGTCAAACCATTTGAAGGCTACACACCAAAAGGACCACAAGTCAAAGCTGCAAAACCTGTTATTAGTCTGTTTGACTACCCAGAGGTACTGTTTAGATGTGATGATATTCATTGTGAAAGCAGATTAAATTAAAATATCTTTTTTACTCTAGACCAACTCARGCATTGTATCAAAGGGACTGGAAAAAGCCAAGAGGATTCTTGCTGGATTTACAAAYCCATTTAAATCGGTARTTAAAGCAACTTCAGGCTCATTCATCCATTTATCCGCATGTATTCATCCATTATTTCATTTATCTATCCATTTTCTCATTCATCCACTTATCTACACCTCGATATGGATTCATTTGTTCATTCACACAATTCATTTGTCAAACCACTTAATTATTTGATGTTTTGTAAGGTTTTAAAGTCAACTGAAGATACTGCTGGCCTGTCAACTAATGAAAACAGACCAGAACAGCCTCAAGCAAAAATAGATGAGGTAGCAACAATATTATAGCTTTTTGAGCAGGGCACAATATATATATGTCCACTGTATGGGATGGATGGGTGAAAAATAGCAGGAAAAAAGTACCAACTGTGAATAAGTCTGATTCATTTAAACTTGACTGCTTTTAGATAAACAAAAATTGGAAGCAAAAATCAAATGATGCAGCCAAACCAAGCACTTCAAAAGGTGAATATAACATTTATCAAATAAGTTATTTCTTTCATGCTTATTTTTTTGCTTTTTTTTGGTAGACAAAAGTTCTGCCTCTGAAAGTGAAGATGAAGATGATCAAGAACACACTACCCCCCTTAGACATCAGGTTGGTTACCCCTCCCCACTCCCCTTAGACATCAGGTTGGTTACCCCTCCCCACTCCCCTTAGACATCAGGTTGGTTACCCCTCCCCACTCCCCTTAGACATCAGGTTGGTTACCCCTCCCCACTCCCCTTAGACATCAGGTTGGTTACCCCTCCCCACTCCCCTTAGACATCAGGTTGGTTACCCCTCCCCACTCCCCTTAGACATCAGGTTGGTTACCCCTCCCCACTCCCCTTAGACATCAGGTTGGTTA